CCGCTAAGATATTCCCCTAGTTTATTTGCATTCAGTAAATCCACAAAGAATTGAGGAAATGGGAAAACCTGTTTCCCTGGTGCAATTCTCAATACGAGGAAGCAGAGGCTACGACCTAACACATCAAAGCACAAACACACTTAAGTATTTTGGAAAGCTGTGATCGAAACCAATTGTTTTTGTTCAGCTTTGAAAGCAACACATCGGAATAAACTTGTTCCGTGTTTCTGTCTATACATATAAAATGCATAAGCGCTTCCGCCTATACATAAACCCCAGCGTGTTTAAAGTGGTTTCATTTAAACAAGTTTTTCTGCACTTTAATTGCGTCCCAATTCCCGGCAAATTCCCTGTGACACAAGTTAGATTAAACAAAACAAAAAAAAAAAGTCAATCATTTAATAAGAAAGCACCAGTTAGTTTTTGTACTTTACTGTGGAAAACGGTAAGGCTAATTACGAGGACATGAAGCTTTGTAGCTGCTTAAATGTATATTCTCCTGGTTATCACCCGCACGGCTTCCAAATTTAGCCCAGCTCTTGGTTTTGGTTGCAGTCAACATGTCTCAAGGGGTCTCGTCCGGTAAAGTTCAAGCACTCAAGAAAAAAAACAACCCACAAACACCCTATAAATGCAAAACCGGTTTAAAAATAATTATTTCAATCAAGGTTTCCTGCTTTTCCATGCTGCTCCTCAGCACAGGATTTCTCTGTAAAATAGCTGAATGGTTCTGCAGCTTGTTTGAAACACAAAGCCGTGCCACTCCTCTGATGAGGGCAAGCTCGTACACACACACGTGTATGGGGCAGGGGAAGGCAAGCACGTTCGCCTATTTATCGAGTGATTGCAATCACGATGGTACGTCAAGATTATTTAGTCCCAAAGTAAGCAGCACCCTAGAGAAAAGTTTTGGGGTGGTTTTTTTGAATTGAGAGAATAGTTCAGAGGGTCACTTGATAAAACTGCATGGGAGAGAGACCTTTCTCAACTCAGACTCTTCCGTCAAAGTCCTTGATATCAATTATCTTCTTTATCCAGCGTTCCCTTGCACAGTTGTTTACTGTCTTTGTTCAGTATTAACTCCCTGTAAGCGAAGATCCAGCGTGAATGACACGAAACGCTCATTTTCCGTTCCTCCTCGTGGGCACTATGAAAGGGAACATGTGCTCTCACAGATGGAAATCACTGCCTCCTGAAATAACACGCAGCTAAACACCGAGCTAAACACTCACGGGTAAGAGCGCTTTGAGCATTGGTTTCAACAGATAATTATTTCCATCAGTGCCTCTTCAAGAGAGGAGTTAAGGAGAACAACAAAAAAAACCTGAGCGTTTTTTAACCAACAAAACAGCAAAGCAACAGGAACAAAGAGCATTTTAAAAGACAACTTTGTTTTGTCTCAACTTTTTAGATGCCTGCGTAGGTCCCCGACAGGCACAAAACCCAACTCCCCTGGGACCGCGCACGTCGCTGGCTTTCTTCGTCCAAGCAGCACGGCCGGGCTGTTCATCAGTCCTGTTCCCGCCAGGCTCCTGCAACCTTGCTTTCTCGTCGTCCGACGGCATCTTTCCCGTCCTCCAAACCGCCCCACCGCACACAGGGCAACAGGATTCGGTTTGATTTCTGACCGTCAAGGCCAAATTTAACAGACATTTCTTCCCGCCTCTGCCCAAGACATTTACCACATCACATCCGATTATCGCAAACATTAAGTTCTGTGTTTTGACCGGCCTGAGGAGGTAACTTTGCTCACCGAATACGTATTCATCAACCGCTTCTCCTGTTCCTTACGGCTCCCGCTATGTCCAGGGGGTAGAGAGCAACGGGTGTGAAAGCACGAACCGAGCCACGTCCTGAGGAGAACAGATGAAGACTGCGGGAAGATCACGATTCCTTTCTCGTATATCAGGTAATTAAGTCTGCGTTACCTCAGTTTTATTTCCTTGTTTTCGGAAGCTGAAATATCAGAGAAGCTGACATTTGGAAGAGCGCACGTTAGCCCTGGAAAGCTGCAAGTTAGCTATATTTTGGAGCGGTTTTACGTTAAACCATCTGGCAGGACTGTCAGAAACACTTACTGATATCTAGTGCTATTGCCAATTGTATGCTGATGAAAGGTACGGGGAGCACTAGCCAAAGAGAAAAATAAGTAAACCTACAGCAGAAGAGAGTCATCTTTTGAGGCAACTCCTGGAGACCAACGTTTTGTCCCCAAAACACTTTGGAAACCCCAAAAGCTCATTCAAGAGACGAGACAGGAACTCGCTGAGCACCTGGGACACCAGGGCATTATGCTTTTCCAGCTCGCAAGTCAGCGTGAACTTTTTGAGGAAGAAAGGTGGAAGGGTACAGTAAGTGACCACAATCCACAGCTAAACTTCCTCCTGAGAAGGAAAAGAAAGAAAACGCAACGTTAGGATAGGGGGTTAAAATAACGAGCACATTTGTGAGAATCTGCCTGAGGGAAAATAGTTTAGAAAATTAAAAACTCCACAGTAACTGACTGAAAGCTGTTAACCAACATCTAATTAATCACAAACTGTGATCCCCACAACAAAACATTAAAAGGAATTACAGGCAGGGAAAAAAAACACTCACGCAGCAACCAAGCTTACCCAGACCAAAACAAGTACTAAGAACAAAATAATAAAAAACGACCACAGTGATGATACCTGAACAGAAAAAAAACCACAACCCTTTTGACAAAACTATCAGGACTTTGCTGTGAACAGCCATAACCAAGGTTGTGTTTTATACTGCCAGGTTTTGTTTTTTTGATATCTAGCAGAGGGCAATCTCTAGGACCCCAGCCTCAACCTAAGCATGAAAAACCCCGCTGGCAACAAGCAGCCTCTGGGCTGTGGTGAGCACAGTCACACTGCATGCTGGCACAAGCAGTGCTCGGCCATTTTAGAAGCCCAGGTTAGTCTTTGGCTACAGTTTGCCATTACACCCGCTGCCAGAGGGCACAGTCGCTGCAAGCTCGCCTGATTTCTGTTACTCTCCCTCTACTCCAGCCTTTAAATCTGCTAGTGCAGGCTCTGTGTCCGGCCAAAAGGTCCCGCAGAGCTGCCGCAGCTGCGTTTCCCGACCCTAGTGCTACACAGGTACCACCGGACTTTCACAATCCAAAGTCCTGCTCATTTGAACAGTGAAGAATCAAACGGTTTGAGAACAGCAACTTTTAAACAATCGTGAAGAAAGGGTCTCTCATCTTTCCCTGATTATAATAATTGAAAGAACAGTGAGGAATCACTGAGTGATTGCTGAGAACAGCAACTTTTAAACAATCGTGAAGAAAGGGTCTCTCATCTTTCCCTGATTATAATAATAATAATTGAAACATTAGACACCTGTCTCAGTCTCGTTTGCCCATCAACAAGTTCCTTTTTAAGCCTGCCATAACTGTCCCGTATACTTAGACCTCTCCTTACAAAGCGTTCACTTGGACACGGTTCCTCGGGGTCCATTTGCGGCTCTTTTTGTTTCTTCCCCGCACTTTTGAAGTTAAAGCCACGTAATCACAAAGTAAATCGCGGAGGAAGAAAAGTCAACGTGCTGTAAATGCTGAAACAGCCCCACGTCCAACAGACCAACCTCCCTCTAGGGACACCTATGCAACGGGATCTCCTCCTCGTGCAGGCTGGAGAGCTGATGAGTCAGATGATGAGAGGAGAGCGGAAGGAAACAGAAGTTAGGCTGCCGGACAGTCTGGAGCAAGTCACCTGGAAAGGTCAAAACCAAACACGAAATAAAAGGCAAGCCAGTGCAACTGCTTTACGAGGAGATTTCTTTTTATTAAATAGAAGGTTGCAAGTCCTGGATCTTGAAAGGCGTTTAAGAGTACATGAAGCTGGGTAAAACAAAAACAAACAAACAATAAAAGGACCCGATGCTCCATGGACCCAAACCTCTACACTTTATTTAATATAAAATAAGCTTTGCAAAAAACAGATGGACTCAACTGACACCTATGGAAGCTGATTTTGCACATCCTCCTATGCTGTGTGTTTTTCTGAACATGAAATATATTCCAATATGATGCAGAGTAGAGACCTCAGCTTGGATCTCAACATCCCAGAGCAAAAGACCAAGAACACCCCCCCAAAACCAACCACCTCCCAGACAAAAAAAACCAACGGGAATCTAGGATTGTATAGCACTCACCGGGATCTTTTTATTGAGAAAGTTCAAAGTTCATTCAGGGTCTTCTGCTCATTAAATTGTCATTTTAACACCGACAGGTTACAAAAGGAGGTATTTTAGATGAGATGTTAGGATAACAGCAGATACAGGCTCATGGAAGAAAAAGACCATAGCTTTTCTTATCAAAGAGTTTTGATTACTTGCAGAGTTGATATTTATCACAATAATTCTACTCTGGAACTTACTACACTCATAGGTCGTTTGAAAGCAACCTTCTGTAATAAAAACTGTGACGAGTTTGACCGGTATTTTCAAAGTGAAAGTCAACATTTTCACGTGAAAACCCCCACTGCTCTACTGTTTCAGCCTAATGGGTTGGTCTGAGGGAAAAATCTGGCTGCATGATGAAGTATGAAAACCACACGGCTATCAGAACTATTGATCATCAGTCTGGAAGCGTTTAAACTACCTCAGATCTTCCTCTTCAAGCGATGCAGGAAAGTCCAAAACATACAATTACGATAAAAAGAAAGAGATTAAGAAAAGGAAGTCTGGAAATTCGTTTGAGGGATTAAAAAATATCTGGTTTGCATTTGTAATTTACCAAAAGACAGTAGTTCCTCTCAAGTTTTCAAAACAAAATTCAAATACTTCAAGGCCATTTGACATTGCCACTCCTAATTTAGGATAGAGGTCTGAAAAAACACTTCTTGGTCCTCACCACTGCCTTTTAGAAAATAAGGGAGCTGAACGGGAATGCCTACGCATAGAATCTCTGCAGACAACAAAATCCCTCTGCATCTCAAAATACTTCTGCCTTCCGTGTCTTGGGTAAGCAGAATATGGAAAGCTCATTAGCAGATGACGTAGCGGACAAGTCTTGAGCCACGAACTTCTCTCACTCTCTGGCAGTGGCGCAGGATATTGAGGATCCTATGGAAGCGCTTATCCACTTTCAGCTGAGTGAACTCTTTGATATCAGCCTCCACAATAAAAAATTCACCTGGAAAACAAATGACGACTTTGCTATAGAAACGACTATGTTGTAGGATACACTTAACATTTCACAAGTAACAATACAGCCTCTTCTTAACAATTCCGCACACTGATGAAAAAAAATAGAATCAGCAGTAGGACAGCCTCACACTATCTCAGGAACTTTGTTCTGCTTTCTATATTTGTCACCAGAAAGAAGAATTACCAACCCTCCCACGAAGTTCAACTACCGTGCATCGTCCACAGGCCCCATCCAGCAAGCTCCGTCTGTTGTCAGCTGCATCTACTAACATCTCTCAAACCATCCATGCTCCTCTATCAGGGTGTGAAGTCTGTAGCAGTCCAAAACACCACCCAGGGCCAGACACGAGACGTTCCACGGATGTGCCAGAAGATGGGGATAGTAGAAAGCCAGTTGACAGCACACCTTGAAGGGCCTTGATGCCTAACAGTAAACTTCTCTTTGAGGCCTCGCCCAGAGGTGTTCTGCTCTCAGTGACATCCAAAGCACTGACCTGAGCAAAACCAAAGAGACGCTCAGGGCCTGCTTAAAGATCATAGCACAGCTTTACAGAGAAAGGCACCACGCTTCAGCCTTTCAATCATGGAACACAGTTGAGTAGCAGCGTGATTTGAATCCCAGGTAATTGCTTTGCAATGTCTGAAATAAGCTGTGGCCTGACGACGTTCTCTCAGCAGGCACTCAAGTTCTGGAATTGGCCCTTTGCAAATAAAAGGAAGGAGCCCTGCATACATCAGAGCTACGCAGCCCGCCGTTCCCTTGGCTGCCATCAGATTTGGAAAAGAAGAATTGTTCATTAACTAAGAAAATGCAAGAAAAAGACTAACCACTTGGAACGACATCCTCCCCGTGTCTCTAAGAAAATGGCACAGGAAGGTCCTGCACCAGAGCTGGCAACCCATCCCTTCTTGTAGTTGATTTAACTACTTCTGAAAGGAAATTCTCATTATCAAGTGCTTGTAAGAAACCAAGGCCTTGACTGGAGTTAAAGCATTTAAAATGCCTGCAACAGAACCCCAAGAGAAGGTCCCCACAGGCTAATAGTAGACACGAGGAAGGAAGGAAGGAGTTGTTCTAAGCACTCCACAGCTCTGTTCACTAGCTGTGATTTCATATGCAGTCTTTATGCACTGCTCAGACAGGAGATAATTATAGCTCTAGTAAAATGCCTGTACATTTAATACTTCCTGTAACACGGCATAAGGTTTTAACCACGCATCTTCACAAAACCGTAAGAATGAAAAGCAATCTGTAACCAGGAACATGCTAATTAAGGTATAAGAAAGAAACGTCCAATTACCTTTAAGGAGAGTAAGTAGAAGGAAAGAACATTCTTTTGTAGTATCATGCTTCCAAGTCTCATGAGAAAGAAGTCACAAGGCTAGGGGTGTTCTAGCTTGGGAAAGAGAGGATGGCATTCTCCCTCTTCCTTTTACCCTTAAAGTAAGGCAGAGGCAGCATCATCTTAGATAAGATGGAGCATCTCTTCTTTCTATTAAATTATTGGACAGTCCTTCCAGTTTAACTGAGGAGAAAGTAGCTGATGCTAGCTGGAAAGCCAAAGCCGCCAGGAAAGCTTTTATTTATTTATTAAACAAGTACAATGTAGCTTTACACAGGCAAATCTGTGTTTTTCTGTAAACATTTCATCTTGAAATTTCATTTTATGAGTGATCTAACAGCACTCCACTCTGAAGGAGCATCCAAGGATGTGACGGCCATTAGAACGAAGGTCCCAGAGCGCTGTTCATAAGCATAGCATTCCCCAAAATATTGCTCAGCCAGAGCTGAAGAATAATGGATCGTGTTTTCTCACAGACTGGGCCATTTTCAGAGTTGGTGAGACAGATGTCTAATAGGAAGTAGAATCTTCCAGAGACACTAACTGTCAAAAGCTGGAGGTCTTCCCCCAGATGGGAACTATTCTGGAATCTGAGCTTGCAACACTGCCGAATTCACATACAGATGGGAAGTGGAAAGTTCGTTTACTAGGAAAAGAAAACACCTGCACAACTGCTTAAGATATAACTACAGTTGGAGAGAGACCATTTGCAATTTCCAGTAATAAGGCAACACACCTAAATGGTGTTAGGAACCCAGGGATAATCCGCATACCGGTTTCACAGTCTGTTGTATCTGGGGGAGCATCAAAACGCCCTGAATGTGTGCAGAATACGATTTCTTCTTACATTTGCCCAGAATCCAGGGCAACAACATTCAGCGTAGCAGGATCTTTTTTTACGAAGAAACCAGAGCTGGATAAAGGGCGGTGGTTTGGTTGGAAACAGTAGGTCCATATACTAAATAACTAGCTAAACTAACCGAGTCACCTTACTGGCTGGGAAGTTACCCTGATAAACCAGGCAGCATCTTTTCTCCTCTTGAAATCGGAGGAAGGGGTCAGCTGGCAAGCAGCCCAGTCTGAGAAACTGTGGGAATCCTAAGCAGAGACACTCACAGCAGAAATTTAAGCAAACAAGTCAATGAATGCACAACCTCATCCTGAAAAATGCAATGGATAAAGACATTTAATCATTTTGTGCTGGCCAGATAAGAACCGCCTGACAGCCTGCCAGACCTTTTCTCTAGACTTTCTAGATGATTAGTCACAACAAACAAAAACAAAACAAGAAAACCTACCACACACACACACACTCTCTCTCAGATGCTGAAAGTCCTAGTTTCCTAACTGAACTTTCTAACATAAACGAGAAAAATAAAGACTGTCCCTCAGGTACTTGAAGAAATTAAAAGCCTCAATTTTTCCAGACTTAAAAAAAAATTCTGGTAGAAGATTATCTCTGACTAGTTGTAGCTTTCTCAAGTTGCAAGAATGGCTCCTGCATTGCAGCCGGGGCTGCCACAGATCACGGTGTGGACTAAGCAGCATTCCAGGCCGAGGAGGGCCCTTTTAGTGTTTAGCCTCTCCTCTACAGCCATGGGCTCAAGCTCCTATCGTCCCGAGGACAGTAACAGTTAAACCAAAAAGATACTGTAAGTTAAAAAGGATGCAGCAAGTATTTTGCGAAATCCCAGATTAATATGAGCCATTGTTAGACTGAAGCAGAACTTGTCTAGAAAAAACAACCCCAAACAAACTATCCGAGCCCAAATTGGAAGCCAGTCACGTGAAGTAGTCTAGCCGCATGCCTTTAGCATGCTTTTATTAAAGTTCTTTACAACACTGACTTTCATACGACATGTTTATCGCATAGGTCTCAAAATAAACCGCCAGGCATATCCATCATATCAGAATTCCTTCCCTACAGAAGAGATGCATTTAGAATCTAGAAGTTAGTGTTGTTATCACCATACCATAAATATTGAGAGTCTTGATCAGCGACAAATCCAAAGGAAGGAAGAAAAAGTCGTTGTTTGTTATAAGGGGACTCCTGAGTACCTGGTGAATGTGCAAAAAAAAAAAAAGGGGGGGAAAAAAAACCCCCGAGAGGTGGGTGCTAAGGTGTTATCAGAAAGAGAGCTTTCTTTCTGTGAGACAGAAGAGAGTTTGCTCCACGCTTTATGTCTGAACTTGGAAACATGAGGGCATTCCAAGGCCATCGCCAAGCTCGATATGTGCAGTACACCCCTCCAGGAATAATTACGTACTTGTTCTCAAAAGGAAAGGAATGTCAAAAAGGAGATTTTTAATACGAGAGATTTACTGTGCCACATATCTTTGGAAAAACTAACCTGAAAGTACAGCTTGCTTTTAAATTGAGAGGCAGACATTTCGGTGCATTTTCATTCCCTCTACGCTTTTAGGAGGAGAAAACTTCTTAAGGTTATCAGACAGCCTTGTCTCTTCCACAAAGCTGCTGCAGCATGACCGGTTACCCAGATTTCCCAACTTCAGAACAAATTTTTAATAGTTTGTGTCCATTCTAGCTTAAAAACTGAAAACGCAGTTTATGCAGTTTGGTTATCAAACTAGGAGTTTGCAGAGCTTGTAGTGATTCCAAGTTAAAACTTTGTGCGCTCAAAGTTTTTGCTACAACACACCATGAAAGTGACATGTTTTCAGTGAAAACATATAAAAAGTAACCAAATCAGTTATGGGGAAAACTCTTCAGTCACAACAATAACCCTTGTTGCTACACTATAGGACTTCATCCAGAAGAGGTGACTGGATTTTACACTGACCACCCAGTTCTGCGTAGTAATAAGACATTTGTATTCCTTATGGCCTAGAATCTGATCTGGAGATGAATGTCACCTCTGTTCTCCTCCCCTGATATCAAGGGAGGACCAGAACTTTCCCCGCTCCAGACTGTCGAAGCGCTGTTTGCCCCCTGTAGTGGCCAGGAATTCTTCAGGGCCAAATCTGATTTAGACTGTGGCACCCCATGCTGGGAAGGGAGGGAAAGCCCTGCTAGGTCAACAGATTATTATTATTTTTTTTTTCCCCTGTTCTCCATCTGAGAATAAGCGATAGCAGGTTTTCTAAAATTTTTCAGGACTGACCGTTTTAAACACTCCCACAGGTTAAACCATTCCACCAACTACCAGACTGCCTGGACGGACTATTTTCTGAGAATAAGACGCTTTAAGTTACACTACATCATGAAAAGCACGTGCCGTCATTAGTCATTCAATATCTTGTCCCGTATTTTTATACTTGTGCTGCAATATCCAAATGCTGTGAGTTTGGTACTAACAAATGAAAAAAAAAAGAAAAAAAACCTTTTGTATCCTTAGTTTCTTCTTCCAGGAACCTGTGGTAGAGATTTCTGACTGCCGCATTCATAGATCTCAAAGGCTGATGCAGGATCTTGTACTTGCCCACCACAGCCTTGTTCATATCTTGAACAACCGCATTAATCTGATTGTACGTTAAACGACCTTTCATATACCTACAAATAAAAATAAAAGTCAGTAACCAGAAAGTCACAAACGAAGTTCCGTGTTTATTTTTCTCTTTCATCAGCCGTAATTGAACATGCAATTCCTAGTTAGAGGCGGTTTCTTCTGCTTTGTGTTAATGAATAAATGTAGTAGTTAATTTTGTTCGTTTCCTTGATTGTTTAATAATGTTGAAAAGCCAGAAAGATGAACCATTAGAAAGCTAAATTAAGTAGTAAAAAAAATATCCAGCACTAAAGCTGTAAGGAGCTTTTCAAAATGGAATAAAGGTTGCTTTTATAGCGTACCACTTAAACTACAAACGCAGAAAAATCAAGCAACTTTGCAGAAAACATAACATGAGCCAAAACTGAAATTAAATGTTTCTGCCTAAGAGTGCAATTTGGTTCATATTGTAATCATAAATAACCTGTGTTTGATCTTACAGCCATTCCTTTGGTTTTTTTTAAGAAATACTAGTTTTGTGTTGTTTTTCTATATTTTATTGTGCAGCCTACTGAGCTATACAGACACAGTTCTGCACTACCAACACCCGCTTCTAAACTTTCAGAGTATTTCATAAAACCAGTACTAAAAGAATAAGATCTGTTGATAACAGCCTAGAGGTACAGGAAGCACAGAAGATAAAAAAGTGATGTGGAAATATTAGAACACTGGAATATTTGCAAGTAAGGCTATTCAGCATTTATAGATGTAAAGGCATGCATTCACGGAAAAGGAAACATGCTGCCAACTGAGAAGCCATTATCTAAAAATGAAATCTGAAACTCATATGACAAGCAGTAAGCTAAATACAAAACCCAAACCCCAGAAAACACTGCAGTAAAAGCCAGGGCAACCTTGCAACTGGAATTATCCTATGATCACCATTCAGTCACTACAACAGACCAAACTTGGCTGTTTGGATTTGGTTCGGTGTCAGTTTGCAGATGTGTGGAATGAAGAACCGTTACAATTCATTTTAAGAACAAATGGGGTTCTTTAGGTCAGGACATCAGGCGGCTAAAAGCTGAAGGACAGTAAGACTGAAAAGATCGATGAACAGGAAATTCTTCCCTCATTTTAATTTGAACGGAAAAACTCAATCTTTGGAAAACATACAAAGAATTGAAAGCACAAGTAGCTAATCAATTACAAATTCAATATTCCAAACCAGAATGTGGGCAGGCATTACACAATTGCCAACTAAAAATAAGCACTTGCTGTAGATTTTAATAATAACCAGTCCCTGCCAGGGAGACAGGTCTGCGCAGGGTGTGTAAGAACTCCTGAAATCAAAGCAATTGCTCTAATTTCAGACTGAATTGCTACTGACATATTTGTAGCCAGTTTAACTTTATTGATATTTTGATTAATCCAGATTCAAAATTGGAGGTGCAGCCATTTTTATAAAAACGCTCTACTTGGCACACATAACATCTTTTCAAATAAAAGCCGCGCTACCACCCCTGAAATGCAGTCACACTCGGCATGAACGAGTAACACAGCCTACAACCACAGAAGGGCTTTGCCTGTATACATCGCTATTTATTGCCCTATCTGCATCCCTTAGCCTATTTATAAAGTCACAGGGGAACGTGCAGAGCTATGAAGATTAAGGCCAGAGGTATAAAATACCGGTATTTAAGTTCTTGTGCTCCCACTATCGGTAGACATACAGTGAATACACTTAATAAAGCCAAAAGAACACCGCAGCTCATCCTGAAGCAGATTTGGTTGCCTAAACCTAAGAACTGAGTGCTCTTTGAGAGGACCCTCAGGCATCCGGGATGCTCAGACGGGGCCAGCAGATGGGCTGGGGTTTACAGAAAATTCAGGAGCTAAAGATCTGGCAGTACATGCTAAAGCATCTGCAATGGCACCAGACAGTTCTGCTTAGGCAACCGAAAGACGCCATGTGCAGCTAGGCAGCCGAGCCGTTTTCTGGTTTCGCTGACTGTCCTGACGTTCAGCGACAGGAGTGGGGGCACTCGGTGGGCGTGGAGACACCTGTGTCACAGACACTTAAACGTAGGCGCCTTAATCTCAAATCAAATTCTGTCAAAAGCAATTGGAATTTTTCTTCTGTGCATAGCTGTAAGGATCATAAAAACTCCAGCTGTTCCACAGTTCTCATGTTTCTATCCAGCCATGGCTAGCAAACCCATAAATGCTGACATTTATTTCAGTCTGTACATAGGCTAATATAAAAATACAAAGTTGAGAAGTTCCAAATTCATCCATTTAATTTAGATTTAAAATAACTTTAAAATCTGCTTCACTACATCAAAAGCGAAAACATTCAGAACTTTTTTTTTAAAAAACAAGTGACCCGATTTCTTTTTTTTAATCCACAGAAGCCCTTTTCAAAACATTTTTTTCCATAGGTATGAAAACCAAAGCACAGTGCTATGAAGATGTTCTTCAAAGAAAACAACATCATCAGTATATCACATATATACCACTGGAAAAGAGATAAACCTCCTAATGGCCAACCCTGCTCCCTCAAAAACGCTTAGGCTAAAAGAAACATATATTCCCCCAAGTTACCATCTTCTGAGACTTCAGAGTTATAATGACTGTGCAGATTCTAAAAATATCTTAAGGGGTAAGAATTTTAGAGACAGAATAAAGCAAGCATTTTCCTTTGCCTTGAATTCAAAGTTAACCGAGACATCTACTGTGCAATTTCCTTTTTCCTTCCTCCAAAAAGGATCTTTCTGCAACAGATTTGAAGGCTAAGATAATTTGCAAGTTTCTTACTGTGCGAGAGTATTCTATTTGATCAAGGTGCTCCATATCTGCACCTTAACACAGCATGCACCTTTGTTAAATACCTGCTGCAGAGTTCTAAAAATATCAAGTCACTGAAGACTGTATATCCCTTTTAGTGCCCTAATGATGCTGGGGAGAGATTCTCCTTCACTTTCAGCACAAAGGGGGTGAAAACCACCTAGATTTTTCAGTTACAATCTACCACAGCTGTGGTAGGAAGGGAGAGAAGACGGAGACTCTTGGCTGATTCAAAACCCGCCATACCCAGCTGGTAAGGGATTTCGACACATATGTGATGCATATGCACAGTTGTGCTTTATTAAGTCCCTCAGACAGGCTTAGCATAGGCACAGTCCTGTACCAGCACAGCCACGCGGCTCGGGGACCAGAGCTGCGTAAAAATGCAGCAGTATTCCCCATCGCTATTGCCAGCAGGTATAAAGAGATCCTACATCAGAACCAGTGCTGACCTGGAGAACTGGGTTATGGACCTAATTCTCATTCTTCTAGGAGAATATGTTGGGTGGGAGAAAATTTGGGTCACAAACATGTGCTGCTTAGATTTGATTAAATAGCATGTGAAATTGCAAGCTTAGCAGACTCCCCCAATCTTGCATTACAATGCTGCCAGGCAACGGGAAAAAACTGGTAGATTAATAGATCTATTTAAATTCACATAAATCTTCCTCCACAGAACAAACATGCTTTGCCCATCCAAATAAAGATATTTCTATAGCCCCACGAGCACAATCTAAGATGCAACCCTTCTGTAAACCAGCAATTAATATAAGAGTACCCAGCTGGCCTCTGTCCCCATTCTCCCCGGCCGCAAACAGCAGTGGAAAACCTTCCACTTTCAAGGATAATGAAACACTTTAAGGGGTTATCAGGGAAGATCATAGCTTTAACTGGAGGCTTAAAACAACATTTGGCTCTAATGGTCTACGTCTACTTCTCTTGCCTTAGCAGACATAAAGACCAAAAATGCCCATGCTCCAGCTTTACTTTTCCAAAATTTTATCAGGAGAGAAGTACCTAGGGGAGTAAATCCACCAAACACTGGAGATGACCTGCAGAACAAAAATACCAGGTGCATGCACTTTTAAGAAGTAACCAAAAAAAGAGTCCTTTACTATTAGCTCAACATTCAGGCCCCTTCATTTTTTGAATTGAGCAATTTGGTGGAAGAAAATGGACATTGCTCACCTGAAAATTTTGAAAGCTATAGGAAAGATGATTTGAAAGCCTCAAGTACAACACAGACTCCAAAAAAAAAAATTCTTATTGAAACAAGTGTTGCCAGGGAACACACTGAATCTAGAGTCTAGGTAACAATTTAGCCTTAGGCATCAACAGAATTTTCTCGTTTTTGCAGAAATATTTGTCATTGTCCCCAAAATGCCATTGAAGAAAAGTTATTCCTACATGACAGATTTCAGACAAGGATGTCTATTAATCAGGTCCTGATGGTAGGGGAAAAAACCCACAGCTTTCTATTCCAGAAGTTTGGGATATTTCAGTGGGAGGTTTTTCTGCTTTTAACAAGTCTGATTTCTTCTCCTGTCCCAAAACAGATTGATAAGTCAAGACTTGAAGTTTTCAGAAACCAATAGTCGGCTCAAATAAAAACAGCATTTATCATTATTTTTCCTTTTAAGTGTAACCATACCTTTCATCTTATGAGATGATGGCTTTTTTTTTTTTAAAATGTCAGTTCTCGAAACAAGAAGTCAACCCATCTATTAGCTAATATATTTCTGTTCATACAATTAAAATGACTTTTGAGATAAGAAGTTTGGGTTTTAACTGATTAGTTCTGATCTTCCCAACATATACATACAAAAGAACCTAATGAGCTCTATTCATTTCGTTTCCAGGTTTGCCAGTATTGCATATAGACTATTTGGAGCTATCATCATGATGTTTCATCCTGTGGAACATTTAAAATTTCAAAACGTCTCTGTCAGTCTCAGTTCTGCAAGAGCTCAATTTCCCAAACCTACGTTTGCCACCCAAATCAGCCTGACAGGGTCTAAGAAAAGCCATGCTCACTTACGCAGGAACACTTTCAAATTCTTCTGCAGTTATTAAGGGTGCTTCTTTAATAAGTCTTGACTCTTTTGTAGGTTTCTTTGCACGTTCGAGTTCTGCAACTTTTGTTTGTTCTTCACATTTCGCAGTTAGCCCAGTGATGCTGTAAAATGAACGAATATTAAGTGTATAAATAGCAGATAAGTAGTAAGGAGAAGAGCATTATATTATCAAGTCTGCTTACTCACAGACCTAAGTTCCAACCCATCTGTTAGGCTGGATGAACACAATTCGTGATCTTTCCTGAAAGAAAAATAAATAAAGCGAGCCTACTCCATTTCAAATTGCATACTTTAGCTGGCTTCATTATAGCTCTTCATTTCTCTGCTAGAGAGGCTGCTAGCAGGTGAATTGGAAGCAGTCCAAATGCAGCACAGAGCAGTTAAGAATTCAATGTACCATTACATTTCACAGAACATGAGGCCTCGCTTTTTATCAGATGAACCACAGCACAGAGCTGCAGCCTAACAGGCAGATCTGAAATACTTCACAGCTCTTTGAAAGAAGTTCAAATCTTGGGAAGCCTGACTCATCCATTAATCTTCTGAAGCAAAGAAATTCAACACCATCCAGCAGGCTGGGATTTTTTTTATATATTTTTTTTTTTAGGCAAGATCCCAAAAGCCGAGGAATTTCCTGCTTTGAGTGATTATTAGAGCATTATTTTTTTTATAAATTCACCCTTCCTCCAAACCCTCAGCTTAGAGCCTCAAACGCCGAGTTATTTGCCTGCCAGCCACCCACCTAGCTAGCTGCTGTCCTACTCATCGGTAGAAGGACAGCAAAGAGGATGCATTCGGCCAAATTCACCGTCATCTGAATACAAGGATGTTACTGGGCTGCGATGCGCAACAGAAATAACTAAAGCAGTACCGAGCTGACCTGTCACAAAGAACTGATCCTCTACTTTGATCTAACCTTCCCACAAGAAGACATCTTTGTTTGATGTGGGGCCCTACAGTCAGCGAACAGCACAGCAGTGCCTCTGTTGACCTGAGGGCCAGGATTTGATGTCTCACTTGATGTGACACCCCCAAACCCAGTGTCCCATTTCCCAGGGAAGACGACTGCGGTGCGGAGGACAGCGAGTGTCACCTGCTGGACTCCCAAACTGTCTGGTCCGTGACACAGTGACAGGGGAAGCTCTGCTCCGTGCCACAATGCAGAGCCCTTCTGAAATCCAGGACACCAACAGTTAAACTAATTCAGATATAAACATCTGAAAAACAAGGTGTGGCCCTGCACAAAACTAATCCCGGCACCCTGAAGCTAGCACTAGTTGCAGGGAATGTCAGCAAAGAAGAGGGAAAGGGAAGGGTAGGGATTTTTGGTGGTTTGGAATAGAAGGGTAAACACAAGGACCGAGGGAGGTGAATTTGCGTCGTAAAACTTCACTCCTCCTGTACGCTCCAATCTCCTGCCATCGTCCTCACTGCAACAAACCTCTTACCTTTTCTAGATGATTCCCCACCCCCAGGTACTTCTGCTTTGGGTTCCTACCCACTACCTTGCCTGTACATTGCTGCAGTGAGATGGTACACGTACAGCTCACTGCTGACCTGGACCATGAAAAGAAAGAACTGAAGCTTGTATTCAAAATCTGGGTTTGGAGTAGTGAGAAACTGCTCTGTCAATAGACATCTGGAACACAAAGGGCTTAGATATATTGAACTTGCTTTTTATTTCAGTGAGATTCCTCCGGTAAATAAGAACATCAAAACGAAGAACACAGGAGAGAAACAATAGCTAAAGCCATGAATTGTTCAATTCGTCTGTGTGGGAGTTTTCATTCTTTCTGAAATCTGGAGGCCTGTAGTGCCAGCGTTCAAGTGCTCGCTCTGCTTTCTGCATTACTTATCTCGTTATATTCACTCAACAGACAATTAGTATTCAGCTCCCCAAGCATTTTGGGACACAGAGGAACAGAAATGGAGAGGGTCAACAGATGAAGGTTTGGGGAAGAGGACTGAAGGCCCATTTACACCAATACAGATGGGTTCTGACCAATTACGGTCTGTCGGACACTGACAGAACAGCGGTTATAAGCTGGCAGAGCACAATCTGTAGAAAATTATTAGAAAAACTTGCCTAGTTTCACATGTGTGGTTCTGTCTAGAAAGGGAAGGACCAGCTAAACTTGCACCACAATTAACTTCTTGATCAAAAGCAGGACAAGCCTGGAAGTGAAACTAACATCCCAAAGAATGTTTTTGATATCAGAGGTAATACAATCACTAAACAAGCCTCATTTGCATGTAAACAATTCCCAGGAGCTAACATAAACTTAAGGTAAAGGTTTTTCCTAAATTAAGAAAGTAAGTTATGAAAAGAAGGCAGAACCCCATTGATAATTCCATTCTTTCACACACACAAAAATAAATTCTGCAACATCTAAGTCGAAAAGGAAATTGAAAAGGAACAAGACATCTCTAGACACATTTTGGGAGGCTGTTTCCTAAACTGAGAGTTCCTGTCTGAAGGGTAGCATTCAGAAGAAGTCTTCTGTACAAGTCATCTCTTTACCAGATAAGACTAGTCCAAATTTCAATACAAGCAGTACAGACACAGGTGAGAATATTGCTACACGCTACCTAAAATTACAGTTTGTTTTTCTCTTCTGTAACCTTGTTTCCACATCCTTAACCTTTTACTTTGCTGGAATACGCCTGTAATGTTTTCAGCCTGAAGCTTGTCTGGCATTAGGAGCAAGACCAGGTAAAGCCGATAGATTCAGGGCACATATTGGAAGCGCTGAATTCAAATAGACTGATGCATTGCCTTCTGACAAGCTACAAGGGTGGAAACAAGTTCTGGAATCTCCAGATGTTAGAATCTAGAAGAGACCCTCATCCGGCGTACACTAACATCACTGAAAAATAAAAAGCAATTCCAACAGGCCAAAGAAAGAGCTGACCACTCGAGAAACACAATCAGAGTTATAATGCCTTAGAAGCCTTTTGAATAATAGCTGTTGTTCCACATTCTTGTGTCTCATCCTCTCACTTGAGCTACTTTATTCTGAACAGTTTCTTAGTACAGCCCTCTCAAAGGCAGGTGGATGTCATTGCTAGCTAAAACAAATGCCAGGCTGCTGCAGGGAAAGGAGAATAAAAATACCACAACCATAATCCAAATCCCCACAGAAAGATGATTGAATTGGAGGATTCTTTTTTTTTAAATGATATTTGGAATGGCAGTGTTGAATTTCAGTTCTAGTAACCCAGCATTTGGATCACTAACCCACCCTTCAATCCTTAGGCACTGCAGCTATCAAATCAGCATTTGCCATTCTAAAGCAAGGAATGTTCAGATTTATTGAAGAACTAGTTTTCTACTATAACGTCACACCTGCCACTGGAAGCTTCCATCTGAACAACTTGGTATTTTACAGGTTATACCTGAAGGATTTGTTAGGGTGCTAGCACAAGCCTGGTAGTGATCAATCAAGAGCAAACTCCAGAATCAATACTTATAACAACCCTAGCTCCCAAAAGTTCACAGTTAATATACGGTAGAAGGAGTAGAGCTGTACAGTGCTGTAGCTGTACACTGCCCGGAGCAGCCCGATACCTCCATGCTCACGTACCACCTACCAGCTCTGAGTTGGTTTAGGCAGATGGGGAGGAATGTTTTCACGGAGGTGCTGCGCTTCATTTTGATCTCTCTCGGCAGACTTCTGGAGCTCCTGAAATTAATGTTAGACTTCATCAGAAATCCGAAACTTAACGTCAAGCAAGTAAAATTAGTTTACTATTAGGGCGATGCTAAAATTTTTTTTAACCTGAGGCGTCCTTTGCTCTCTCCCCATCATCTTACCTCTTTACCTCCTAATTTCCCCAAAAGCAACTAGCAAAGCTCAGAAAAACAAAGCTAAGAGTAAGAAAACATAAGCTTGTCTGTCCTTGCCCTCGAAGCATCAGAGAAATTTGAGTGGGCAAGAAGTAAACCTTTAACAATATATCCTAGCAGGTCTGGGCAGGGGAACAGCGATGGCAATGAAGAGATACTACAGGAAACTCATCTACATTCCCCAAACAACACTTTCACACACATGAAGGCACTGCAAGCACACACTAAAACAGATAAATATCCTAATTAAATCATTTTCATGGCTATTGCAAGGATGTAAAAATAGAACTGCTCTTTAGATCACAGTATCTATTATGATAAAGACATGCTTTCAATGTATTAAACCTTGAAAAATAAGATTTTTATGTTCGCTATGCTGGAGAGCTGCTTAATAAACCATCAGTAAGCCTGTTCTGAGTCCCAGTTCCACTTATAAGCAGCCTCATGCATCCTAACATATCACTTAGGATCTAGAAAAGAACAACTATGCACTTATCAAAGACTCCTTTGAATCTTTCAGTATTTTATGAACAGGAAAAGAAAGATTACTTTTAGCAAATTTTTCAGTTTTTCTTGCTGTTGAACTTCCGTTTCCATTTTATTCAGGAGATCATGCAAGAGAACCATCTCATGTCCTATTTTACAGAGCATAGATTTGAGGGATGGTTCTTGACCTGTCAAAGAGAGAACGTTAAGCCAAAAAGCCAAAACACCTCCAACACAAAACCAAAAATCCCATTTTCCTCCCCTCCACAAGCAGTGTTTATCTACTAACTCCGTGCTCCCCAACCACCATATCTTCCCAGGAGAAGCAGCAGTATTCACTGGTCAAACAGTCAACCTCCTTCTCCATACAGGCAACAGAGTTCAAAGCTGCTGCAGGAATAAAGGCCCCTCTCCAGCACGATGCTGGAAAACGCTAAGCTATACCCACTGCAGGTTGCAGGTGGAGGACACAGCTTTTAAACACAGCCTGGCTTTCACAACTGCTCGGCTGCAGCACCCTGCTCTCCTTCATGATCTCCCTCTGTTTAGGGGAGCTAGAAAGCTACTGCCCTCTTTGGAAAAGGTTATAGTTCCTCTTCAAACAGGAGGTTAGCCTAGATGACCCTCCCAGACAACATTTCAATGATCCCGTGTAACGTCCATTTGTGCCTAGCAAAGGATAAGGGATGAACCTAAAACTTGCAAATCAACTTCAGCACCTCGGTTTAAATAAGTTTGTTACCCACTGCATGTTTACATCACAGCCAGGCACTCCTGGAATGCTAGAACAAGACACCTGTATAAACCTCCATCTGTGCCTTTGCACATTTTTGTAATTAGGCTTAACATACTCCCCAAGATATTTTTTTCTTCTCCCATCTGGAGCTTTCCCCATCAAGTATATAGAATATAGGGTGCATTAGCCACCAGTCTCCCAAGTCCCTCAGAGGAGCATACTTTCACTTAGCTCACTTTCTCTGCTTGGCACCTGGTTCCCTGATAATGCTCCCGTTTTGCCATCCTTGCTCACTTTTTTTGTTGTTCTCTATGTTTTACTTGATTTCCACTTCATGTTACATTCCTTGCCTAATTAGAGCGTTCCCGTTTCCTGCAAGGAGGTGCAAACCAAAACCCTCTCTCAATTTCTTTTACCTATGTTTCTTAATTGAAGAGTCTTTTTAATTGTTGAAATCTTTGTGTTGATGTGAAAGCATAAATCTTCCAGGTCTGAAGACGCCATATTCCTCTATTATCATACTGAGGGGAAATAAAAAAGAATGTAGTAATTTAAGAAAGACCTAAGTTGCAAACACTAAGCACACAAGCAGAATTTTAAAAAGGACGCTGGTGCATCAACGAAGCAAAGGGGACTTAAATGAATCAGTAAGTGTAGTAACTACCTCTTATTTTACTAAATTGAAAACAGGAGAGAAAGTACAAAGTGACTGACATAAGACAAGACAAAGCAATTTCCCTGAACTCTGGAGGCAAATGCAGTGTAATATCAGTACAATTCCTCGTGAAACTGGGTAAGTCTTTATTATATTAACATGTTCACTACTAAGGGAGTTGGAAATTTACTGCAATAAACAAGAAATATCTGGTTTATATAAAGAACTGCTATAAGGCGCTCTCAGGGAGCTTGGAGCAGATGATCAATATTTAAAGAGATGTTTTTTGGTTTGTTTTTTTTTTTTTTTTAAAGACCAGTAACTAAACAAACCAAAATGTGCACTTGCTTGCTAGCAGTGTATGGAGGCACAAAAAGTAGCATTATATATCGGTTACTCTTGCGTAAGTACACTTATTAACTCCATTACAGAAAATAACTGATAAAAAAGCGTTGCCGAACTGCACCTTCCCCAATCGCAGTGCAACAAACCTCCGCCGGAGCCTATTGTCTGACAGCCCTTGTGTTTACAGCGCTCACGCGGCTCCCTCTGGTGGTTACCTCGCACCTGGAAACGAAGCTTTTCTTTTACTTTTAGTTGTAACGCACCGCGAGCTAGCACGCTTGCTAAATTAGTCGTTAGAGACCGGCCGACTTCCACACCTTCCACACCTCAGGAGAAACCGTTACAACCCGCGGCACCCCCCCCGCCCTCCGTTTTGCCTCGCGTCCCGACCCAACGCGGGTATCTCCTCCCCCGCGGCGCCCCGCTCTCACCGCCGCCAACGACCG